AAGAAGGTCGGCGCAAGTAAAGGAAAGGAACTGTGGAACGTGCGGCAAGGTAGGGCATAATGCGAGAACGTGTCAAATAGTTGTTTCGATGTCTGGAGAAGAGGAAAGCGATTAGTTTTACTTGATTGCGTGATTTGTTGTGTTCTCATGACGATTCCTGTCTCAAGGGTTAAGATTTTTGTAACACTCGCTTGTTTGTAACACTCGCTTATCATGTACGTTACCCTTGATGCAGATTCTGTCAGCAGGAACCTCTCGAGTCGGGGTTTGATAACTTACGGCTCAGCCATGATGGAAAAGAAGAATTATCGATCGCGATTTTGATGATGAGGATGATGAAAATGAAGAGCGAAGTTTGCGAAAGTATTCTAGCTAAATAAGAAGGTGATAATGTGCTACTTTGGTGAGAAGGAGCAACCTTCATGACACTGGCTGTTGGTGCAGAATAGGTAGGTAGGTAGGTAGACCCCAGTAAGCAAGAAAAGCAGACCATAATAAAACGCATTAGAATATGTTTATTAAAAAGAAATACTGAATCTTACCTAGATTTATATAAGTCACCTAAGTTTATATGAGTTACTTAGGTTTATATAAATTTATACTAGACTGCCTAAATCTTTTTATCATTTAGGACTAAAGTCGTCACTTTACTTTCTTTTTCTATACTGAAGATCCCTATTTTCACTCACTAAGTGGTTCCTTAGCACTCAAATCAATTGATCGCACCTACTAGGTAGTAAAGAATATACTGCAGTACGAACACTAATTCTATAATCATCACAGGCTGCAGCTTCTGCGAGCGCACTTCGACTGACAAGACATTTATGCAAAACGATCTAGTCGGAAATTCTCCAGGATAGAATCCGTCTCCCCAGTGAGAATCTGCCTACTCAGCAATTTCCCAACAAGAGCTCCATTCGTAACCCCAGAATGCATCACAGCGACACTCAGGCCATCCAATCCCGTCTCTCCAAGAATCGGCAGTCCATCTTCAGGCAATACGCGATGCCCAATAGTGTAGTGGCTGAACTCAAGCTTATCTCCCCCGATGACTGAACTTTGAAGTTTGGTGAAGAGTTCACGTGCTGTCTTTTCTGGATCATCGCCTAGATCTCCACCGGCGTAGCTTGAGCCGAAAAGCAGAGCTCCTTCGAGGGTTTGACGGATGTGCAGTTCGGGGGCGTTGATTACACCGTTGATAAGTCTTTTAGGGGTGGGTTTCGTGTTGACGAGAAGTCCGGCTGTGCTTTTGAGTGGGAGGGGGATGTTTTGTGAGGCGAGGAGGGAAACGCTTCCGAGGCCTGCGGCTACGACGACATGGTCTGCGCGAATGGTTTGACCAGACGAGAGAGTAACGCCGCTGATATGGCCATCGGTCTTGGTGAAACCTGTGACTTTGGTCTCAATGACTTTCGCGCCGTTCTCTTTTGTGAGGTTGATCAGTAGTTCAGCCGTCTTGTCAGCCTCCAGAGCCCCCTCTTGATCGTAACCGAGACCCCATCCCGGAAGCTTCGTCTCTTCAATATGAGGCTCCCGCTTCGATATTTCCGTCTTGTCAACTCGGATAACATCATACCCCCAAGCAGTAAGGTTCTTTTGCTCCTCCTCAAGCTCTTGAGGCGATTTATCCCAGCTTGTTGTACCTCCCCAATGAATGGGTAAGTTATCAACAGCTTTCTCAATCTCTCTCCAATGCTGAAGAGACCGTAGTCGAAAGTCGTAGTAGAACTTCTTATCCGACGAAGCAGCGTTGAGCCATGCGAATGAGTTGGGAGTAGCTACTCCTCCGATATCTTCCGCGACGATGGTCACGTTTGTCTCGGAGGAGAGATGCCAAGCGATAGAGGCACCGACGATACCGCCACCAACCACGACAACGTTGGAGTTTGCGACGCTCATATTTGACACTTGAGGCTTTTCCCCCTCATTTTGAGAGCCATAGCGACTGTCGGACATGTTAAATTTATATGTCTCGATATCTCAACGTCGCATCAACCCCGCCTTTGCCGGATGTTCTTCTTGAGTCCGAAGGAAAGATGTGATCTGCTTCGGCTGTAGGATGATAATGTTGCATAAATTATGGAAACTACTCGGTTATGTAAAGCAACCTTCTTGAAGAGGAGGTGATCGTTATTGAGTCGTCAAAACCTCTGATGACGTGCGATAGACAAAGGTCCATCCGAGCTATTCTGATTGGTTGATCAAGTCGCTCTCTAATCCATCCTGTTAGGTAACCCGATGATGCCCTCAGGGAGCAACGAAATATCGGGCTTTAATTCAAGGCATAAAATAAGCTTAGTAAAAGGTATGCTCAACTTAGTAAATACACTATATTTATACTATCTTTATACTATATTACCTGAATCCTTTCATTACTGAGGATCGGTCCTGAGTTATCTTTCCTCTCTAGGATGCACGTTCAGCAACCCTCAATGTCATCCACCAATTATTGAAGACAACAAAGCGCCGTATCTAGATGTATTTGCTTCTTTCGAGACATTGATATCATCTCGCATATCCCGTGACTTGTTTGAGGCCTACAAACCAAGGAAAACCACGTAATCATGCTGCACGTCTATCATTGGGGTTACACAGTCATCGTAAATTTACCAATCAGGTCGTATTCATTTTCAGCTGCGATGGCCAAGACAGCCATCTCATATGCCCGATATCAAAAGCAAAATGGGATTGATGAGATGATGTTTTGTTATATATTCCCAATCATTTCTGTTTTTCTTATTGTTTTTTAGATCCCGCGTATATTATCATGGCTTCACTATTCTTTGAAAGGGGCCTTACATGGCTTCCGTATTTCATCGTTGCCCTCTTTACTTGGTTCATTCTCTCTTCTGCTTTCGCCTGGCATCGTCTCCGACATATACCGGGCCCTTTCTTTGGTAGATTCTCATATTTATGGTTAGCTTACATTACCATCACCGGAACACAGCACGATCACTTGGTCAACCTCAATCGACGCCATGGACCCCTCGTCAGAGTTGGACCGAACGAGGTCCTTGTCGATGACCCAGACTTGATTCGAAAAGTCTCAAGTACTAAAAACACATATACCAAAGGAAACTGGTATCACGGCGGCAAATTCAATCCTTATCACGACCCCATGTTCCAGATAACAGACCCAGTTCAACACGATCGGGTCAAGGCCAAGCTATCTCCCGCTTACAGTGGACGAGACACTCCCAATCTCGAAGCCGTAGTCAACAGACAGGTCGGCAGTTTGATTCAGCTAATTAGGGAGAAGTACATCTCAACACAAGGAGATTATCGCCCGATGGAGGGAACGAGAGTGACACGCCTTTTTGCATTGGATGTTATATCGAATCTGTCTCTTGGCCAAGAATTCGGGTATCTCAAAGCCGACTCTGACTTTCACGGAATTGTCAAGGCGCTCAATGAACATTTGCTGGTCATGACGCTCGCAACAGACATTCCATGGCTGAGAAACCTGATCTTTTCACCTATTTTTCTAAAGCTATTCGGACCGACTGAGAATGATACAAAGGGGATCGGACCGCTGATGAAGGTCGCGAATACCATTGTTCGTGAGCGATATGCTCCCGAAGCTGATGAGCAGCATGATATGCTGGTGAGACATTTCTTGGGTGCGGAAATCATAAGCTAACTGGCTAAAGGGTTCGTTTAAGAGACATGGTTTACGACTGGAAGAATGTCAGGCTGAATCTCTATTCATGTTTGTTGCAGGATCAGAAACCACTGCCACTGTTATGCGGGTTATTCTGCTCTACATTGTTGCTTCGCCTCACATTTATCAGCGTCTCAGACAAGAAATCACGGAAGCCGTATCTGAAGGTCGAGCTTCGAAACCAATCACAGATGTTGAGGCTCGGCAACTTCCTTATCTTCAGGTACGATCCCCTTCAACTCCATTCAGGCATGCTGACACTGTCTCTCAGGCAGTGATCTACGAAGGCATCCGGATCCGTCCAGCTACAACGGGCATGTTCTTCAAAGACGTCCCAGCCGGCGGAGAAACAATGCATGGGAAGCATATCCCCCCTTGTACATCAATCGGCATCAACGCTTCTGCCTTACTGCGCTCCGAAGCACTCTTCGGACCTGATCCTCAAGTCTTTAGACCCGAGAGATATCTTGAAGTCGATAAGGAGACTAGTGCCCAGATGAAGCGTGATGTAGAGATTGTGTTTGGATATGGGCGGTGGATGTGCGCTGGAAAGCCTATCGCGTTTATGGAGCTGAACAAGGTTATTTTTGAGGTATTTACTCGATTTATTAGTTTGGTTCATTTTACTGACCAGTTTCTAGCTCATTCGGGTCTTTGATTTTCAGCTCGTTGAACCTGAAGTCGCGATGAAGTCGGAGAGTTATATGGTGTTCCATGACCAAAATCTGGTACTGAGGGTCACAGAGACAGGCCATGAATAGGGGCAAATGATGGTCTTATAAACTAAATATTATTGTTGTGGCCCGAGAAGCTCCAAATATAGTTAGTATGGGTACATGTCGCCAATCGTATATTAACTAAAACTTGAGCCTAATTATAATAGGGAGAATCCAAGGGCAGTATGAAAATTCAATAACTGCATTGAGACATTCACCTTCTCTTTTTTTCTTTTTTCTTCATTTTTTTTTCTTTTAGTAATTAGAGACAACTGGTGGCTTGGCAGAGGGCGCTATAAGATTTTGGCAACGGACTTCGCCCACGTTGACCTTGAGAGGTTAGATAGCTTTCACAGTGATTGAAATGAGCGTGGAAGTACAATTTGATGAAGCACAAGTTCTGTGTGTTACTGGGGGTCCAAACTATCCACCATTCACAGACAACAGTCTAGACATAAGCATGCCCCTCTGTCGGGGATCGTATTCCTGGTAGATATCTAGCTCTTGTACTCATTGACGAGCTGCTCTAACTTGGAAGGGTCTGCTCCCACAACCTCATTGGCCTTCTCGCCATCCTTGAAGAGCATAAAGGTAGGCATCGCTCGGATGCCGTACTCTTGAGACACATCCTCGGCCTCGTCAACATTGACCTTGATAAAGTAGATAGATTCAGTTGCTTCTGACATCCTGGTAGTAAGGAGTCAGCTAGGTTGCATATGCACGTTAACAGGCGAGACTTACTTCTCTACGACGGGGCTGATGAATCGGCATGGTCCGCACCACGGGGCCCAGAAATCTGCGAGGACGACTGTGTGCTTTTCAAGGGTATCCCTGAACTCGGCGAGGCTGTGCGCTGTTTAGTTGACATAAAGATATAGAGATTATGTTGCTTACTTCTTGACTTCGTGGACTGTCATTTTGAGCTGGTTTGCTATGGTGTTCACTAGATATGGGAGTTTGAAGGGTTTAAGAAGCTGGAGGGTTACAGGCATTTATATACTGTGCCATGTTCCCCTCACGTCAGGACGCGTCATAGTCTGATTGGCTGCATCGTCGTGCATATTCCGTGTCTCCGTTGCCTTGGATTCAGAGACATTTCTCAGAACTAGACGAATCATTTTCCTATTCTGATTATTGTGGCGTCTGTACGTGGTCAGATTTGCTGAGGAACATCAGCGAGTTCCCCGCACTTTTGTTGAAGCTGAAATGTTACGGATACCAATTGACTATGAGACCTCGTGAATTGTTGAGGCATTTAGCTATGACGTCTTAATTTGGAGCTATTTGCAGCTGATCGGCCTATGGCTGAAAGTCTATCTCCAGACCGTTAGCGCGATCGCTAGAGGTGGAGTTCTGAGTTGGTGATCAGTCAGCTGTTTAGTAAGGAACCTTGATGAGCCTAGATTCTACGGATATTGCCAGTCGGTTTAAGAACTTACGAACTAGCTTGGATATATTCTTATCTAAGGCTCGGGCCTTTATCTAAACACTTACACTCATGCCGCCGACTTGATACTCAGGATATCAGCTCTTGTCATGTTACGCTCCAAATCCATCACTACGCATGCCGTGTCTCACATGCAAAACACGATCTCAGCAGGCTAACGAATCACAAGACAGACCCCAACTCTTGTGGCACGGGTGTCTCATTCGTTGTCATTGATTGACCTCGGCGAGCCTCATCGGGGGATTGCAGGATAACGGTCAGATACCTGGCTAAGATTAGTAAGTTGGCTCACGAGCTATATTTGGCGACACCTATTTGACTACTACATAATTACTAATCAAGACTGAAGCATATGCTACTGTGTTTACTCATCACTTCTTCAAAACTCTGGCATCATGGCATGTCACTATGATTTTCACAATGTTCTGTACCATGGTTTCCAGTATTTATGCGCCGCCTTCTTGCAATCATATAGAATTTCGTACTTGTGGTCATAACTTGAGTATAAACAGTAGAACCCGCTAGAGTCGGCCGAGCTTAAACCAATATCATTGGAACTCCATACAACGACTCAAGCTTCCCTCTCTCACAATACACCTAGGGAAACTTGCTGCGGCAAGAAGAATCGGCACCAGTGGCGCCAGCACTCTGGCATCTGCGTCTCCAGTCACAGTTATCGAAGCTAGAAGCACCGCCACCAAAAGTCTTGACGTTGCACTCCTTGTACTGGGTGTTGGGCTCCGTTCCTCCCTTGAAGTGATCGCAGACGGTCTGGGTGGCGCCGTTGTTGGGAATGCCGTTGCTGTCGTAGCAGTGGCAGCTTTCGTAGCTGGCGCATGCGGAAGCGAATGCTGAGAGGGTGAGGAGACCGAGGATTGAGACCTTCATTTTGATGGATTAAGGTAGTTACTGGAACAGTTAGGCTCTGTGGGAAATTCCGAGGACTAGTATGTACCTTGGTTGTCGCTTTTGAGGCGGTGGCTTAATGATTGTGATATTGAGAGATGTGCGAGTTATGGTCCTTTACTTGAAGAGACATTGACACATATTTATACCCAAAATTACAGCTCAACAATTTCTCTTCCCAGTACGTCAACAGCATAGATCATCAGTTCCACAGTCTCCAGTCGCTCTCAACAGGCGTAACTACTCCTAACTTGCCAGGACTCCAGAATCTCATGATCAAAATACGAGGTATTCCTAATCATCCAACTTCTCACAGTGATGCCAAGAAACATCGCCAAGACTCACTCTCCTATAATTGCACATACTTTCAGAGGTTTGTCATCGGTAAATCGGACTTTAGTTTCTTGGCAAATCAGGGGTAGAACTACTTATACAACTGCCGAAAACTCTACACTCGTCTATTGGTAGAATACCCCATAAAAGGCTCAAACTCAAATACTAGCGGTCAAAATAAGGTTTTATATAGACTGATATATGACCGTTTCGGTGGATTCTCGCTTCGCCGATGATCCGAATGAGATTCTCATCAACTAGGTGTCATGACTCGCGATATATGTTTTAACCAGTCACGAAGCCATCTGTACTCACTTGATGGGACTTGAGGACGCGCTCCAATCGGATTCATGCCTTAAAATAGAGCCTACATCCTCTCAGTTGAGAGCAGGCTGGAAACGAGCTTAGCAAGTTCGCTTGTGGTCCGCGTACGGTCCGCGTATAATGCCAAGAGAAGCAGAATAACTACTTCCGTGCTCTTTTTGATCCTATCCTCAACAGTGTATATTCCTTCGACCAGGCTTCAAGGACTCCACTCGGCAGTCTCTTGATAGGCCCATTTTTCGTCTTACTTGGCCGTAAATGGATATTTCATGGTCCCGTTCCCGTTTGTGTAAAGCACCTCCGATGGTCATCTTACGGAATTGCTACCTTGATCTACGTCATAATAGAAATCGCTACCTCCATAATGCAAAGCTCAGTGACGCCATATAGATACATCGACTTCCATAAGCAAAAGTTAAACATTCCGTCTTTAAGCAAGTGATACCATCCGCCGTCTCAAGTTGCACACAAGATCTGCTCCACCCTAATCTAACGCACTCTAACCCCAATAGAGTCTCCATGATGAATAAACCAACTGCCCAAACGCGTGGGAATTGAGGGACATCATGTACCCTTCGCTTTGCACTTTCAAATCGGTATAAGCTTTCTCTATCCCCATATTTTTAAGGCCTTGGCTTTCATCATACGAACCTTTGTCAAAAGTAGCTAGATCCAGACGCTCCTCCCGAGTATCCCGAGAAGGTTTTCACAGACAATTGACGGCAGCGCCCTTCTCGGTATGGCTCTCGACATTATGTGTCAAGTTCCTGAAAGTTAGTCCAACTAAACTTAAAACACGGTATGCCATCCGCAGAACTGATCATTGCCTTATACTGAGCCTTCAAAGCATCCCTCGATACTTTGAAGACATCCCAGGTCGTCAGAGCTGTGACATCAAGATACATACTGTCTGACCGATCATCCTTCTAGCGTGAAGATGTCAAAATGCATCAGAAATAGCTTTCCACAATGGGCAATCCCTCTTTTACAAAAAAGCCATGTCTTCAAGTCTCTTTGGCCGTCATAGATTGAAGTGTCCGTAGGGACAAATAGTCCCAGGTAACCAAATCAGTCGCTGTATAGGGGGCTACCTATTTAGGTAGACTAGGGATTATCCTTCATGGTCCAATAGATATTAGTCAAGGGCTTAGTGACGAATTCTCGTAGTATAAGACTTGACTAGCTTCTCTAACCTTTTGTTGTATTTAAGAATAGATGGTTTCCTGGCTATGCTGTGAAGATCATAAATCAACTTTGGGAGTTGGCGTCATTCAACTTTTGCAATCTGTTTCACACTGTCTGCTTTAACTCAGCAACATACCTAGTCCGCAATGCAGAGGAACAACAGCCAACAATCTTTTACGATGGGTCATTTTCTCGCATGATTCACTTTGGAGTCAATCAGATAGCTCGGCATTTCCCCTATTGCCCCCATCTATTTGTTGTCCCCTTCATCTCAGAATAGGTAGCAATCCTGCCCTAGCGGGTAATGGAAGCAACTCGGGAATAAGTGACGGTCCATCGGCTCCGATCACGTCTCCACCACGATCCGCCGAGCCGCAACTTTTTTACGTTATACAGACAGGGATATTTCTGACTTGGAGGTTCAAAGAGTGGACTTATTAGACTTGAGAGTAACGTAATAGGATAGATCTTGATTGATCGTCGAATCAGTTCTTTAGTTAAGTTGGATGAGGCTTTTGATAAACGAAAATCTCGATATCGGATTATGGCTGTAAGAGTTTGGCCTCAGTGGCGAATTGGTCGAACCACTCGACTTGACCATCGAATCACTGAAGAATCTCTGTTTCTCAAGAATAAGCATGTTTCAGAGACCATAGAGTCACAATCTATTCTGTTTGATAATCCTAATATTCGATTCTTTATGTTTGGCTGTCTCATACGCAGTCTTCTCCAACTTTCAATGTGGAGTCGCTAAACCGAGAAATCTCTTGCCCTCGCTATCAATATAAACCCTTCCCCGTGGAGATTTACGTAAATAACCAATTCAATATCTGGAGTAGTAACCAAGACTCCCCTTAGATCGTGGAGATTCAAAGGCGATTTAATGAAAATTTTGCATCCAGAGTCATGACCATGCCATGTGTGGGCCTAATAGCGTTGTTACTATGGGGCCTCTCATCTTTTTTATAATGGGGCCATTTAGCAAGAACTTTTTCTTCTTTCTCTCTTTAATTCCTCACTCTTTTCCGTATTTTAGGTAATTCCTTGAATTTGGTCATCATGGCTGTAGAAAAAGTCGTGTCTGATTCTCCCGTTGTTGGAGAAAAGGGCGTAATGGCTGATGAAAACGCTCCTACGAAGGAACCCTTCGCTGCAACGGGTGAAGAATATGAGCAGGATGATTTCATGACGAGGACGGGATTGAATGCAAAGTCGTTTACGAGGAAGCATTATGGCCTTGGGCTTGTGGAATTGGATCGCAAGATGAAGCCGAGACATCTTCAGATGGTGGCTATTGGAGGATCGATCGGTGCTGGCTTCTTTGTTGGATCTGGTTCAGCGTTGAGTAAAGGTGTAAGTGAGTCCTTCACTCAACTGAATATTAGCTAATTGTTACAGGGCCCTGCTACGTTGTTCATCGACTTCTTCCTCGTCGGAGTCATGGTCTTCAACGTCGTCTACGCAATGGGTGAACTCGCCGTCATGTATCCCATCTCCGGTGGTTTCTACACGTATGCAGCTCGTTTCATCGACCCATCCTTTGGTTTTGCCATGGCGTGGAACTACACTCTTCAATGGGCTGCTACACTTCCTCTCGAGCTCACAGTCTGCGCTATTACGATCCAGTACTGGTCCCCAGACGTTTCTCCCGGAGTCTGGATCGCCGTGTTTCTCGCTGCTATCACCATCCTCAACATGTTCGGCACGCTCGGATATGCTGAGGAGGAATTCTGGGCGGCGTGCTTCAAACTCACGTCGATTTCTATCTTTATGATAATCGCGCTGGTGTTGGTTTGTGGTGGAGGTCCGTCGAGTGGGAGCTATGATACATACCAGGGCTTTAAGCTGTGGCATGATCCCGGTGCTTTCAAGAACGGATTCAAGGGATTTTGCTCTGTTTTCGTAACAGCGGCCTTTTCCTTCGCTGGTTCGGAACTCGTGGGTTTGGCAGCGGCTGAGTCTCGAAATCCTACTGCTTCGGTTCCTGCGGCTATCAAGCAGGTCTTTTGGAGAATCTGCTTGTTTTACATCGTGGCACTGCTTTTCGTTGGTCTGTTGATCAGCTGCAATGATCCGAACCTTCTCAGCTCGAGTTCGTACTCCAACAGTGCAGCTTCGCCCTTCGTCCTTGTTGGAAAGTATTCCGGTCTAAAAGGTCTTGACCACTACATGAACGCCGTTATCCTCTCATCAGTTTTATCCCTCGGAATCGCCTCCGTTTACGGCGGATCTCGCACGCTTCTTGCGCTCGCACAACAGGGTTTTGCGCCAAAGATCTTTACTTGGGTTGATCGAGCGGGTCGACCTCTGCCGTCTGTTGGATTCATCATTGCCTTTGGATGCCTTGCTTTCTTGAACCTTGATGCCGCTGGTCCTGTTATCTTTGACTGGCTTTTGGCTTTGTCAGGATTGGCTATGCTTGTTTGTTGGGGATCAATTTGTCTTGCGCATATTCGATTTAGAGCGGCGTGGAAGTATAATGGACATACACTCGACGAAATCCCGTTCAAGGCTATTGGTGGCGTTTGGGGATCATGGCTGGGCTTGATCTTCGTTGTTGTCATTCTCATTGCTCAGGTGAGCCCCAAATCCTCATTTTTGGATCAACAGCTAACATTTCTCAGTTCTACGTGGCCATTGTCGCCCCAGTCGGGGAGTCTGGAATGGGTACCGTCGAAGACTTCTTCATGCAGTATCTTGGACTTCCTATCGTGCTTGCTTTCTGGGCTGGAGGATATCTCTGGAAGAGGACAAGTTGGATCAGCATTGAAAAGATTGATATTGATACGGGACGACGTGAACATGATTGGGAGGCCATCAATGCTTGGAGGACAGAGCTCGCTACGTTTCCCTGGTGGAAGCGATTGAGGTACACTTTGTTCTAGTTTAAAAAGTCTGATGGTATAGATATAGAGTTTAGAGTATGACTATGGAAAAGTTAATCATAGCAATTCGGAATTTTGGATGATGTCCCGAGATTTGAAAGCTTGTCATATTGACGTGGTCTTTCAAGATCTACAAATAACAAATAGCCATTATCTAAGTATAGCTGATTCCATCTCATGGGCTGTTTGTCATTTCATTCGTTTTGTTACATCTCCTGGCTGTCACGCGATCCCTTTGTCTTGCGGATGATACGCCATTCGAAGTTTGCTATCTCATCACGTTCACTAATTACTGACGAAGAGCACCATTTGTTCATAGGCACAGCAAACTGTTCACAGCATCATGGTCGGTCAAAATTCTGAATCAATGTCTCTAAAAGAACGATATATCTTCTCAACCACCCACGGCTTTTGCGCGAGATCTTTCCTACACTTGAACGGGACTTAGTCGACCTGAAACGAACTGTGCCGTTCAGCGAACTTTCAAATCTCTCAGGATACCCAATACAAGCTCATATGGACACGGTGATGAATAACGGAGGCCCAGGCCCTGACCCCCAGTCACAAGCCGACCTTCCCTGGGACTCACTAATCGACACATTTCCATTCCTCACAAACCAAGCCTACCAAGCACTATCCATTCAACTAGAGTTCTTCCACAACATGAGTAGCATGAACCTCCCTATGCCCCAAGATGCTAGCGCAAAAGAAAAGTTGATGGTAATCCTCAACAAAGCGAAAATAGTCAATGATCTTATATCGAGTCTGACTCACAGCGCTGAACTTCTTGTGGATCTGAAGGAAATAGAATATGACGAGGTCGTCAATGCAAGGAGAGATGAAGTTAGCAGTATGCTTGACGAGGCTGGCGATAATATTGAAAGGGTCATTGTTATGCAGAAACAGGAAGTTGAGAGAGGGTTGGGGCTGCAAGAGGCGGAGATTCAAGAACAACAAAGACGTGCAGAACAGGAAATGATTTTGCAACAAAGGGTCGGTGGACTTGGTATGGGAGCTCCAGAACCTCCTGGAACACAGATGTCGTATGTGCAGCCACCAGCTCCACAGCAGAGTCATATGCCACAACAAAGCATTACACCAGAGCCGATTCCAGGACTTCAGCATGCTTCTGTACCATCAGCCGGACTTCAAGGGTACGCTCCACCACCACTAAACAACGCAGTTCCAGCATATCCTCAGGCGCCAGCACACCCTCAGGCTCCCGTCCTTGGTCAGGCACCAGGGCATGTTCAGGCACAAGAGCATGGTCATCTTCCGACATCCAGTCAAGCTCAAGGACAAGCTCAACTCCCAGGACATAACCAATACCCAGCCCGCCCCGTCCCCCAACCAGTCCCGCCACAAAGACAAGATAGCGTATACACCGAAACAAGCACCACAAGCTCTGACGACTCTGAGATTCGAACAATGCCGGTTACAGAGTCGAGGAAGCAGAAGCAGAAACACAGAGCTGCCAAGAGAATGGCAAAGATGAAGAGAGAGCGGAAGAGGGGCGACTTCTGCAAGCGCTGTGGACGTTGTTGATGGCAATACACTTGTAACCATAAGGTATAGGATAAGCATAATCTAGTGTTATAGGCCAAGTATTAGATATCATATTTCTCAACACTTCTTGTTCTGCCAGTGATCACCCCGAACAAACAGTCCACGATTCAGCTCATAGGGCCAATTTGTTAAAATATGTCTCTGTCCAAATCCAAGCCCAACTTGGCAGTGAGCTGTCTTGGATATGGGCCTCTTTTCTAAACGACAAAAAGACCCAAGTTCAGGACATCTTAGTAGTACTCTAGACCAATATATTTTGGCACCCTGATTCAGTGTCAGAAGTTGTCTTGCAATAATCCCATATCTCTATTGTAACTACGTATTAACAAAGGGGCATTCCGTCACTTCCCACATAAGTGTCTCTCGCCTTGATAATATCCGAAAGACTACAGGTTTCTTTCGACACGTGCCCCAAAAATTGGCTACGGTCGAGTTGCCACAACTCAGCGACACTAACTCCAGGCTTCCAAGTGTCCACGATTATATGAAGTCTCTGGACCATCTTTTTCGGATCGACTTTTCCCGAGTGTTTCAGCCACTGTCTTGCCATGAGTCCAACCTTGTCGAAATCCCCGGTTTGGGTTTCGACCATCTTTGGGAAGAGCTTCTTTGGCAAGAGTTCTTCTGTATTTATCATTTTATCCTAGCAACTGATATGGTATATGTCTGCCGGTGGGCCAGCTCCGTCGCTCAAACCAATCTGTGGCCAGTTTATTTTTATCGAGTACCATTCATGCATCACTGGGACCACAGGAGTTTGTTTCCCGTGGTATCCGCATAAGCGCCCGGCCGAGCAACTTACCTTGATTTGAGGGCTAGCTATCACTAGCTGGACCAACTGATCACGATATTCTTCGTTGACTCTTTCCAGAGTGAAGAGGAGGGCTTCTCCATGTTTTCTAAGGCTGTGTGGCCGTTTAGGTGGCTTGGCTTTTCCTGGCCCCTGTGAAGGGCTGGGGATGTCTTGGTCAAGTATGATTCCAGGCCTTGGTAGTCCTGGAGTTGAAAACTTGTGTGCTTGGGGCGAAGGCCATGTCATGTCTTTAGCCCTCGATGGAGTTTTAAGGGGTGAACTGCTGGCTCGACGCTCAGTGATACTGAAGGGTGTCTCAACAGGAGTTGGAATAGAGTGCTGCTCAGTCTGAGCACGCTTGGCTGGTGGGGTATCCTTAAGCTGCCCTGTTTCTTTTGTCACAGTGTCATGCTTGCGTTTCTGAGCATTTCCGGGTGTGGTTTTCTGACCAACCTTCCCGGATGGCTTGGTAATAGATTGTTGATCAGTCTGAGCACGTTTGGCTGGTGGAGTATTCTCAAGCTGCTCTGTTTCTTCTGTCACAGTGTCACGCTTGCGTTTCTGAGGATTGCCGCCTGTTGGTGTCGGAACAACCTTCCTAGATGGCTTTGGCATTGGTTCAACGATGAGGCAGTCTTGGGGCTCTGGTGATCCTGGACGTTCTGGACTTGTTGGACTTGTTGAAGGTCCCACAGGTCTTGAAGGTCTGAGTACGACGCGTATTAAACTTGTTGAACTTCTTGAAGGTCTGGGCACGGCGTGTTTTGCACTTGTTGGACTCGCTGGACTTTTTGAAGGTGCTGATGGTCCTGAAGGCCTAGGTACGGTGCGTGCTGTACTTGTTGAATTTGTTGAAGGTCCTACAGGTCTTGAAGATCTGAGTACGATGCGTGTTTTCCTTGTTGAACTTGTTGATAGTCCTGAACGTTCTGGACTTGCTAGACTTGTTGATGGTCCTGAAGGTCCTGATGATCCTGAAGGTCTGAGTACGATGCGTGTTGTACTTCTTGAACTTCTTGAAGGCTCTAGAGGTCCTGAGGGTTTGGATACGGTACGGAAAGGGTTAGGATCGTCTGATGCCTCTTCGTACATGGTGTTTTGATATGATGCGGTATAGTCTTGATGAATTATGATGATGCTGGATGAAGAGTAAATGTTTGAAGAGTACAAGTTTGCTTTGGAGGTGTCTCTCCATGATTGACTTGCCTGGGTAGTTAACCAAGTATTACGAGGGAAGGCACTGCTGGGCAAGGAGATTGCGAGTTCATGGAGTGCAAGGTGCATGCGCAAGAACCCAGGCGAAGGAAGGCAGGAAAACTTAGGACTTTTAGCCATTGATGAACAGACTTTGGTAAGTCTATGATATCTTATTAGCCCTTAGATCTGTGGGTTCAGCATCCTGATTAATATTACAAGTCATCTTGCTCTCCGGGATCACTACGAAACTCACAACATCTTGCACTTAGATGGACACAATTTGATCAGCTTAGTATTTTATAAGTACAACTGGGCTAGGGTCCTCAGAGATCTTGCGACTAGCTGGGTATAGGTATAGTAGGTAGCACCCAGAAGAATGGCACACAGCTCATCTCCCCAGCAAGCTACTCAAGTCGGCCAGATGATCCCTAGACCGTTGACCAATTTGCCATTGATAGACTACTCACGGCTCATATCAGCGTTTAATCTGTATCACTTGGTCAGTTGTTGTGGTATCATGTCAAAGTCGTGAGCTAGACGTGTTGTTTGCAGTTGAGAACTACGGCTGAGCCCTTATATAACCGTAGTGCACTAGTCACAACATCAAGGTCAAGTCGAACTAAAGCATCAGTTTCGATAACTGGATTTTGGAACCGAACCAGCGTGTCGGTTAAAAAGCTCTGCATCAAAGTTTAATGCCGATCTGGGGCCCATATCATGAAAATACATAGAGTCCACGGATACATTACAGAGAGTCATCCGAGTCACCTAAATACAATCCTCAGCTGACTTCATTATAAGCACAAATATACAGGGGTATTAACTATCATCACATCCATCCTACTTAGAAGCCCTCGTATGCTCTTCATAAAACTCCAGCGTCAGCGCCGCCAAAAACCCAGGAATGCATCCCTTCTCCCTCACCCAGAACCCAATCTGATCACTGATCCTCCTCGCGAAATCACTCCTAGGCCCACCGCCAACCTTCATCGTACCCCGCTCACCATCAAACACAATCGAGTTCTCGTGCTCGTCTGTCTGCGAGGGGTAGAACGTGCTCTCGACGCGCATCTTGCCGTTGGGGATGAACGTCACGGTCCAGCCGAGCGTGGAGAAGATGGCTTCTTTGAACTCTTGGGATTTGGAGCCCCAGACTTCTTTCAGGCGGCGCGTGCGCTTCTCGGCGGAGGCGGTTTCGGCCTTGGCGGCGGTGATCTCGCGCTCCATTGCGGCGAGGACGGAGGTTGGGATCATGGGGACGGAGGAGTTGGCGGTCTTGGATTGGAGGGTTGCGAGGAGGTCTTCGTTCTCCTTCTTCAGTGCCTCGAGGGTGGAGCGCTTGATGGCTTCAAAGTCCGATGTAGGATTGGACCTGAGTGATAAAACACGCGTTTGCGTTTGTTGCTTAGCAGCTTTTAGTTGTTCCTTGCTGGTGGACAAGTCCTTCTCCAGCAGGGCAATCTTGTTTTGCGACTTTGTCAATTGCTCCTCTAGCATACGCTTCTTTCGCGTGAGTTGACCGAGTTGCTCTTGGGAACTGTCATCCTCCGCTCTTGAGCGCTTGCTTCCTGTCGTGGGCTGGGGTGTGCTTGGTGCTGAAGGCTCGATTGACGATAGCTCAGCGTGTAGGTTCTGGACTTCCATCTTATACTTGTCGACAAGATCCTCCAGCTCTTGCACGCGCTGTACACGGGCTTGGTCGAATTGCTCTGGTTGAAGAGTCTCGTCCTCGGTATCGAACGTCTTGAGCTGTGCGCGGAGGTACTCGACTTCCTTGACGGCCAGGGCACGTTGGCGCTCCAGTCGCATTCGGGCCTTGTCGGCGTTGCTAGCATTTGCCACAGTCTTTGCGTTCTCAACCTCATTCCTAAGTTGAGCCTGCTCGTCGCGGAGCGATTGGATGGTATTCTGCGCAGCAGTAATCTCAGCCTGTAGAGCGCCCACCTTTTCGACATACGAGGCATTCGTCAAGCGCTCCTCGACAAGGGCTCTCGCAACAGCTTCTGGTGAGTCAAATTCAGACTCGTCTGTCTCGGCCGCGTTTCTCAAATATGCCGACCAGGCCAAGCGCTCGTCCTCTAGTCGCTGTCGTTGTATACGCGCCTCGGCAAGCTCTTCTTCAACCAACCCCGCCGCCTCCAACTTTCTCTGTAGTGTTCGCTTCTCTTCTTCGACAACATCAACTGACTTGCTCAACGCTCGTAGGTGCTTAAGTTCGGAGAGCTGATCACGATTCGTCGCCTCAAGGTTTCGGATATGCTGAACTTGTTCGGTAAGTTCATGTCTGATGATCTCCATCGTCTCGGCATCCCCGCTTTGTGCTTTGAGTCGCAGGACATCGGCTTCAAGATTCGCGATCACTCCATCCTTCTCGGCCAATTGAGCTTGTGTCTGCTGCAGCACATTCTCCCGCTGCTCGCTCTCCTGCTCAAGTTCTTGGATTGTCTTTTGCGCCGCGGCGATTTGCATCTCCATGTCTGTGGCTTTTCGGTCGGCAATTCGGGCAGCATCGTCCTTCGCTGTGGATAAGTCCTCAAGCTGTTCCTGCAGCAAGCGAGCCTCGTCCTCTGCTTCACGAGCCTTGCGCTCTAGTTGCTTCTTATCACCACCAATTGAGTCTTTAACTTCTTGCAGCTCCCTTCGAAGAGCTTCTGTTTGCGCTACCGCCTTTTCGCGCTCAACCTCAGCCGCTTGTCGGTGCTGCGCTTCATCTTGCTCCCGCCGTCGAGCTTGCTCCAATTTGCTGCTCTGTTCTGACGTCGCAATCTCTTTCTCTTGCTCGGAAGTCTGAATTCGATATTGGAGCGTTCCAATCTCAGCTTTTAATGACTCAATTTCTCGTCTGTACTTCTCGTACTCGTCCGCGTCTGGGGGCGCCATGTTCTCCTTATGACTTTCGCGCGAACCGGGACGGACAGAGTCGGCGACGTGGCTTTGGCGAGAAGGAGGTCGAGGAATACTTGAATCGCCGCCTGTTAGTAGGTCATATGTCGGTCGTGTAGTCGAGCGAAAAGAGGAAATCTGCAGCCAAGGTTCGCGGTTAGAAACATAAGTTCGAGCTCGGGAATGTTTGTTTTGTTTTGTGTTGACTTACCCTGGACTGTCGGAGAGATGTCTGAGGTCTGTCTATAGCAGACGTACTAGCTCGGAATCTGGCATTAACAGAGCTTCGTCGGCTCCCACGCCCATCTTTTTCGCTGGGCGTAAATGAGCGCATTTTCCGAGTTTTGTGGGTTGCGTTGCTTGAATGATTGAAAGATCGCGGTCTGAAGATAGTTTGTTTGCGATCACCACGGTTGCTTGCGCCATCACGTGACCCAGCTGGTCCTTGCGTCCAAATACCTAGTGGGCTTCAAGATGATGCCAAAGGTATTGCGGCATAACAGTAGGTCGTTTGTTGCAGAAGAGTTGTAAGAAGCTTTGCTAGGGAGATAAATTGACTGTTTTTGTAGTGTGGTGAGTTGCTCTTATACCCAGAAAGCGTTTTGGCCTAGAGATTTGCCCAAGACTTTCCCAGCTGGTGTGTAGGGTATGCCGAAAGAAGCTCTGTATCAAGCTCCACGAAGCTTCTTGAACTCTGGAGGCGTATAACGGCAGGCTAATTTAGCATTGAAAACGCTAGGGTTAGTCTCTATCCTGCAATTAACAGAGCGTTAGCCAACTTCTATTGTTGTAGCACGAGGGTTGGTCAACCATGGTTCTATTGTTGTTACGTCTGGTCTGTCTGTAAGTTGATAGCATTTCGCCAGTACAATAGCTCTTTGAGTTTACACAAACCCGTTAAACGGTCCAATCCCAAGCCAAATTCAGACCAAACATATCCCCAAACCCCCTGAGAACCTTCTCCAATCACTCCCCCGATAATGACGCATCCTTGCAAACCATCCTCTCCAAGCCTGCCAAGTCGATATCATCCCAGTGACGTCTTCCGTACCTGATAAAGATGGACCCCTGTCCCGTCTCCAGAGCCTCTCCTAATTGGCCATCCCACATTCCTCATGACCCACTTCTCTTTCTTTTCCCTTGTGTCAAGCTTCAGGACCCGACGATCACCGAAGTCGAGTTTGCGATCCATCCGCTTACAAAACTGAGCTCCACTGACGTCGATTCTTGAATGACGACAATTTCATTCGTTCCTTTTTGATTGCGCTTGTTTATAGCTCTTCTTGTTCTTGGGTGAATGGGACCGAAGCTTCCGCGGCAGCTAACGATCCTCGGCATCAAGAGCTTCAGGTGTAACATCATCTCTTACAGCCTTTTAAGCTTGTAACCTTGAACTCAACCTCTTACATCACCTGTCGAGAACTTTGGTCTTCAACAATGGCCTCAATTGGCCTCCGGGTAAGCTCTATATACCCCTAGCTCTCCGTTGTGCTCTAACACCTCTAGTCCTCCGTGACCATCCGCGCCATATCCCTTCGATCCTCCCATCTACGACAAATCCCTCCAACACAATACACACGATACTACTCCAACTCAACGAAATCTTCCACCTCAAGCTCAAGCTCAAGTTCAAGCTCCGACGAGTCCATCGCAAGCAGCGCATCCTCAACGCAAAGCAGTAAACTCAATGTCTTCAGCAGCGAATGGGAAGACCTCGACACATCCATCAAGTCCTTCGCCGACCTACCACATCGACTCTTCGGCGCGAACCAACACATGATCATCAACTATGAGCTCAAGGAAGCTTTGCGCCTTATGCTGCGACAGTTCAATGCGCCCATAATGTACTGCTTTGCCTACGGCTCTGGTGTCTTTCCGCAGAGCCCTTCCAAGGCTAGTATTTCGGAAGCAGACTTTCGCGCTGTGCACCCGAATCCACCGGAGGCGTTGATCAAGTCGCAGAAGGGATCGCCGAAAGTGCTGGACTTTATCTTTGGTGTGTCGCATGTTGAGCATTGGCATTCGATCAACATGAAGCAACATCGGAACCATTACTCGGGACTTGCATCGCTAGGTTCAGGCGTCGTATCGCGAGTTCAGAATTGGGGTGCTGGCGTTTACTTTAACCCCTATGTTGAGGTCAACGGCATGCTCATCAAGTACGGCGTCACAAGTATCGATAACCTCGTTCGCGACCTTTCTTCCTGGGATAGTCTGTACCTCGCTGGTCGTCTTCAAAAGCCGGTCAAGATTCTCCGCGACCATCCTCGGGTCCGACTCGCCAACCAACATAACCTCATCGCCGCAGTCCGAACAGCTCTTCTTCTCCTCCCACCACAATTCACCGAAGCTGAACTCTACAGCACCATCGCAGGTCTCAGCTATCTAGGTGATCCACGAATGGCTCTCCCAACAGAGAACAAGAGCAAAGTCACAAACATCGTGGACAACAACATCGTTCACTTCCGTCGTCTCTACGCTCCTCTTGTCAAGACTCTTCCCAATGTCGATTTCACAGGTGCTTGTCGCATCGACGACACAGACTGGATAATGAACCCTGAAGCCGGCAACAAGCTCCAACAAGACATGGATCCCGTGCGTCGTGGTAACATGGTCAGACGACTCCCCCAAACCTTCCGATCACGTCTATACTTCCAGTACCAAAGACGCTTCGGCATTCCCCGCGGAGAGTTCAACGAGCTGATGAAGGCTTCGACGGATGAAGAAGGCGGCGCCGTTAAGAAGATGCAGGGCGGAGAGTTTGAACGCCGCATCGCCACAGACGACGCCCAGAAACTCAACGAAACGGTGCGCATCGTTATCAAGCAAACGGTCAACTGGCCAAGTACTGTACAAAGCATCAAGGGCTTATTGATGGGCGGATTCTCAAGAACGTGGCGTTACCTTGGGGAGAAGTATTCCAAGTATAAGAAGGACCAAGATAGTAAAAAGAGCAAAAAGGCGTGAGATCATTTCTGTATATTCAAAGCATAACTTTACGTCCCATGAATGAGGATAGTGAAAGGAGTACAAGGTCAAAAAGGAATTGGTATAGACGCAGGGACGTAGCAAAAAGACTCTGGACACATTGTCCGTTTTTATGATTCATCGTGGTTCTGTTTCTTTCAGCTCCATATACAAGAGCCTACTTTCTGTTCCTCCTTAGGTGTCAGGTGGTTTTAATACAAATACGCATACAAGAAAATTATACCAAAGGAAAAAAATGAAGATGGGTAACAGAATGAAGATGAGTGAAAAGTTCACCCCCAGGAACAAGCCCCATTACGCTCGCTATTCAATGCGCCGCCAAGATATGGCAAATATCTTGTCTTTTCTATCCATGCACGTGAAAATTATTCAACACTACCCACTACCGTCCTTCATATTTACCACTCACGAGCTTCCTCGAGATGGGTACGTCAACCCACTTGTGTTCTGTGCTGGCGGTGTCGTCCGCGAAAGGATCGTCCTCAGATACATCCTTGCCTTTACCCTTGCCCTCGTCGAGTCTGGAGATGGAGATACCGCTGCCCATGACTTGATCGCCGGTGGCTGTCAACTCCCAGCGTGCTTCAATGTGGCCTGGCTTAGGCTCTGCGCCTTCTGCGCCAATGATGCGGCAGACGATCTTGTGAGGTTCCGTTGTGAGGGTGAGATCGCCAATGCGCCAGTACACGAGGTGCTTGTCCTTGAGGTGTGTTCCTACGGGCTTTGTCTGGGCGCCGCTGGATTTGCCTTCGTAGGTGGCGACGATGACGACGTTGTGTAGTGTTACAGGGGCGGTGAGCTTTGATGATGGGTTGAGCTGGTACTGTAGCAAGAGGCCGAGTTTGTCTCCTTGGGGCTTCCATGCGGGCTTGAGGGAGAGAGGAGCATGCTCGCCCAGCGAAGGGGTTTCAGAGTCCTCGGAAAACACTCGGTATGAGAATGCGGGTGTGTTATTGGAGAGGTGATCTAAACCCATGGTGAACTGATCGTTATGGTCAGGAGATGAGTTCACAAAGATGCGGTTCGGTCCGATGCGCTCAAGGGCCGAAAAGTTGTTGATGCGTATAGTCTGGTAGCCTGATATGTGTTAGTGGGTGTAATTTTGTGATATTGGAATTGCTTACTCTTCGTATCACCAGAGTCACTAGGGTTGTTGACGAATGCAATCTCGCCAGTAATGGTTGTAGACTTGACAACGCCATCCTCAAATGTAGAAGAAACACTCTCAATGATGGACGTGTTCAGTCCTGGAGCAGTCATATGCGCATGCTGAGGGTGATTCAGGCCACCCAATGAGTTGCCTGACCTCACAGACTGTGTATCAGAAGTACCAGCAATACTAGCCTCAGATGCCAAGGCTGCAACCGCACTTCCCTTGGAGAGAGATTGTGCGAAAGATGGAGATGTTGGCCTAGCGCCCAGGGACGAGTCTGTACCGCTCTCAGGGAGGTTGGGTGGTGGCACATACATAGTATGGCGCACGTCACGGCGTCCTCTCACTGTACCACTACGACGAGTGGCCGGTCCAAGCTTGAGACTATTGGCGACGCTGGAAAGAGCAGCCATCTTGGCCTCTGGGTCCTCATCCTCCACAGGCGTCTGCTGAATGTTGACCTTGAGAAGCTGGTCAGGATCTTCGCCAGATTCCTTAGCTTCACGCTGAGCCTCAGAGATGGGGTCGTTCATTGGTGGTGGAACGGTAAATCCTTCAGCGTCCTTGGTCGCGAGCTGTGGCGGCGCGGGGGACTGGTTCTCCTGCTTGTGCGACGGCGGAGGGCCAGGGGGAGGCTGGACATCTGACAGATCGGGTTCATGGTTACCGTTGACTGTACCCCCCGTCGTTTGTGGGATCGGACTGTCGAGCAGATTTCCGTTGTGCGACACTCCGTTCGTGTTCTCATGCGAGGCATCGGGCCTGGGCGAGTCGGTCTCGTGATTGGGTAGCTTGGGCACGTCAGGAGTTTCTGCTAGAGATGATAATCGGTGGTGCTCTGCGAGATTGTTGGAGGAGCCTCGAGGGGAGACACCGCGCTCGTTTTGGCTGTGACTGGTTCCCATGCGTCCGAAGCTGGGGCCTAGCTTTCCGGGAGAGAGCTGGCCGAAACCGGCGTGCATGCTCTGTCTCCTGCGTCCGCCGAACATGGTACCGAGGCGGCGCAATTTACCACCTTGAGGCTGTTAGTGACCAATAACCGGGAGTTATCAATGGACCTACCTGGCTTCTCCTGTGGAACCGAGTTATGTTCGCTGATATCATCGTCGCCTGCGTGGGAAGAGGCGGGAGCTGGAACAGGCGCAGGAGAAGATGTGTGAGCGCTTTGAGCAGGCAAATTGGTGCTATCGGCAGTGCTTGGAGGAACTGGAGTCGAAGGGGTTGTGCCGGCAAAAGACGACTGCCGTGTTGATGTCCTTGTAGGGAGCTTCGCCTTGCCAGCCGTAGCCCTGTGCACGAATGACTGAATCTCCTTTTCCGTGTCGATTTCGAGCATGAGAGCAAGAGTCTCCATAGCATTCTCCTGCACACGGCCAGCTGAATCGGATTCGTGGGTCTGATACTGTGTGAGAAGATCACGCAAGTTGTTCACTCGTGACTCGTCGAGGGCCTGGAGAGATTCGAAGATGAACGGTGCCTGCGACTCCCACTGCCCTGTAGCAGATTCGAGCTTGGAAGAAGCTGCATCGACCTTTGAAGTATTTGCACGGCTTCCTTTCTTGGTAAGCTTATCGACCTGATTCTGGGACTCTTCGAGGTCTCTGGCCATAGACGTTAGGTTGCTGGACATGGTGTTCATGTTCTGGACATCTTTGCGGTTGGCAAAATTGCGCAGCGGATGCTCGATGTCCCTCTCGATGCGATCGGCAAGCTGGTGATGCGAGTGGGCGATGTTTTCCGTCGAGTCGATGATTCTATTCCACGGCGCTTGGAACACACTGCAGTTCTGTGAGTAATTGCGATACAAAGGCCTCAGGAGGGATGTTTACCCTAGCTCAGACTGAGAGTTGGGAACCTTGAAGGTAGCAAGCTTCTTGAGGCCCTGCACGTACTGATCCTCCACGCGACGGCGCTCCTGTGTAGAATTGATTAGCGGGATGTCGACGAGGCTCGCAGCGTGATGCCATGTCGTTGCGTAGCCATTGGCGGTTTGCGGATTGTCGTACCTGGAGCCAGTCGGCAATGTCGGTGTTGACGCGGGACATGCGCTTCATTCGTTCGGTAAGAGTCTGCACCGCCTGGCTGGGCTGGAGAGTTGCCTATTCACAGCGCAAAAGGGTCAGCCAAAGTCCAGCATGCTAATGTATCAACTTTTGCCTCCATTGTCGCCAGTGGCGATAGAATTGGAGGTCGAGGGGATTAAGCTCACCAGCATGGCGGGATACTCGGCCCTGGCCATATCCTCCATGATGGGCAGCGCAAAGGATTACTGTAATTATGTATAGATGCGGATGAGGGAGTAGTGAATTAATTATAGGATTAATCGCTCGAGGACGAGATGCGCATGGCGGGTTTGGTTGAGCGAGAGGGGTCGGTCGAGATTCCGAGGTAGACAAGCTGAGTTCGTTCGTATGCGATGATGAGCTACGTAACTAAGGAGTATCGTAGTAGATCAGATGATTGTGATATTATCGGAAGAGTCGGACTCTGGGGAGTAAGTGAGTATTATTGCCGCAGAATGCGCAGATCCAATGCCAATGCAATGCAATGCAGCTGAGGATGGACGGGGACGGGACACGAGGTTGGAAAAGAAGACGGAAGAGTAACTTAATGCCTTGGCTGGGACGACAACGGCTAAAAGGCCTTGACCCAGAATAACTAACGTTAGAGAGAGGCTGGCGCTGAAAGTGAGCGAAACAAGACAGGGCTGGCAGAGTCAGGTTTGGACTTGGGTTGGGCCTCAGGGAGCAAGAAAAGACCGGGCCTTAAGATGGGGTGTCAAAATAAGCAGGGTAAAGTGCCCCCTAAGCTTAGGCTAGATTTGCCTAAGCATTCTTGTCGCTTCGGGTCAAGGTCCTGAGTTTTCTTTCCTCCCCAGCTGGGGTAGCTTAGCTTGGAGACAGTGGAGCTAAGTTAATGGGCAAAACGTTTGGTGGTTGGTTAATTTTCTCTAGAGGCCTTCGAGAAGTTCCCTAACAAATTAAGTTAGAGTCACGAGGCCCCGACATGATCTCATAGTGTAGTCTCGGTACTTGAATAATATCAACCCAGAAGAAGCTCTACTTTTATGTATCTGATACTGCGTATACTGAAGAATTATTGATCTGTTCTGACCTGACAGGCATTGCATAGGTAGCTATTATATATACCCCCTGCTCCTCGTCATCTTGGCCTTGTTTCTGCTTTATGAAATAGCGGGCCGGTCCCCATCTGCTTTTCCACCAGAAACCAGATGCTCAAAACCTGAGACATCCCAGTAACTAAGTTCTCTCTGTTGATTTATTGAGCTCTCAGCCACAGGCGGGGAAATTTTATCTGTTGTGCTATAACCATTTGGCAGCAGTTGACTTTCTAGATCCCAATTTGACCTGTCATCTTCAGTACCTATCTAAGCAAACCCTGCAAAGCAAAACAATGGAACTACCGGGATGGAAAGCTGCGTTGACCATGTCTCAGCGCTACGAGACAATCCAAAAAATGTAAGTAGCCTTATGTGTAACGTACAAATACTAACTCACATACGTAGACAAGCCTCCCTCGCTACAACTAGCATGAGTGAGGCCATCGCCATAGAACAGGCCGCCTACCAAATCGCTTCTACTCAGGTGCGCCCAACTTCAGCGGTCCAGAACTCGCGGATCCGCTGACATGGCCTAGGACGAGTACAATCTCGCCTGTCAGCCAACCTCGACACCGACGCCTCCGCCTCCTCAGGAGGAAGAGGAGGGTGACTCTGGGATACGCATTGGGCCTTATGGGAACTGTAGGCCTGTTTCGGATGGTGTAACTTCAGAGGTCTTTCGTTCGGGTGATAGGGCGCTTAAGGTCATTGTGACTTATCAGGATATTGAGCCGCATAATCCGCAGAGGGAGGCCAAGATACTCAAGGGATTGCGAGAACCGTGTATTCCCCTCCTCGAAACATTTCGCGATCAGGAGCAGAGATTCGTGCTGGTCTTTCCGTTCATGCCGTACACTCTGGCAGACCTTCTCGCCAACGGTCCTTTACCGCTCGACGCTGTCCGATCTATCTTCCGAGATGTTCTGCACGCCCTGAAGGATATACACGCACAAGGCATCATCCACCGAGACATCAAACCGTCTGCAATCCTCATCTCATCTCCAACTGGTCCAGCATATCTCTCCGACTTTGGCACAGCTTGGCATCCCGAGCTATCAACCCACTCAGAACCAGCAGAGGCTAAGATCCTCGACATCGGAACGGGCCCTTACCGCGCGATGGAACCTCTCTTCGTACATACATCCTATGGACCAGAGGTTGATATGTGGGGAGTAGGAGTAATGCTTTCAGAAGTACTCCGCGATCCTCCAACCCCTGTATTCGAGTCTCGCGCGGCCCATGAAAATGGTAATGAGCTTGGCCTTATCCTCAGCGTCTTCAAAGCCATTGGTACGCCCACGCCTGAGACATGGCCTGAGGCAAAGCAGTTCAGGGTCGCACCTTTCGAGCTCTGGACTGTGTTCCCCGCTCGTCCATGGGAAGAGCTTCTTCCGAATGTAGACCCTGACTTCATCGACCTCGTGTCATCGCTCCTTCGCTACGATAGTCAGCGACTTACTGCTGAGCAGGTCAGTTGCGGTTCTCTCCCCCCTTAGCAACGCCACTGACAGATATCCCCAGGCTCTTGCTCACAAAGCCCTGGCCGTGAACCCGTGAGGTCAATTGGCAGAGAATCATATCGCTGAAGCACTAGCGTTGCATACCAATAATGAACAACTCACCGTCAAATCAATTATCAACGTTAGACTCTTTGCCTCGTTTAATCTCCCAATTCCCTTTCACATAGACCAACACTATAACACACTAAAATACACGTTCCAATTACGCTTCAAAATACTCCAAGCAGACGCAATGGACGCCCCCGAAGGTACGTACTCCACGCCCTTCTCTCCGACACCCCTAACCTCAACCAGATAATAACAAGTTCATCCCCTCCGAGGTCGACGAGTTCAAGAAGCCTCCTAAGCGCGACAATGCCAAGACCGACAAGGCGGGAGGCCCTGACAAGAAGGATGACAAGCAGAGTGGATTTGTAGAGAATAAGGAAGACGGTGGCGCGAAGCTTGTTGAAGACAGCGAGGACAACGAGGAGGGTGGTGCCAAGCTGTAGGATAGGTCTGCGGAGGACGAGAAATACAGGGGTGTGAAGCTCACTGGAGAGAACAAGGAAGATGGCGATATGAATGAAGCTTGTTGAAGAGAACTCAGACAACGAAGATGGCGGTGCCAAAGTGTAGACGCACCATTGACCGAATCTCTCTACCAACACATAACATTGGAATGCTAATACAAAACTTTTTATTCTATCTACTATAATATACTATCCAGTGATTCTCCTCCTAACCCTGCCGTCTCTTCGTATCTGAACCCAGGTAGTCAATTGGGTTTCGACATAGAGGACAAGTATTCTGGTTACTACTCTGGAACCACTTGTACAAACACGTCCTGTGAAACAAGTTCTTGCAAGTGGTGCATCGTTTATCAGGCATGCGCTTGTCGGTCGAGATAATGCTGTAGCAAATAGCACACTCGGTCTGGCCCTTGAGCGCACCAAGAATGTTCCGCTTGAAGACTTGAAGACCATCGATGATGTTGCCGTTGGAGAAGGTAATGACACCTTGTGTCGTCATGATCCAGCTCTGCCACTTCTTCTCATTGACGGCGACACGATTGAGACTCTGGACAGAGACGTTTTCGATGGGGTAGTTCTGAGGTATCTTGATGGCAATGGCGGCTTGATCCTCGTCGACTTCATAGCCAGCTATGATTTCTCTAGAGGATCGCGCGACACGTACTACAAGTTCCTTCTCGTCCATAGCAGGAGGCTCCTGGCTATCAGCCCACTTCTGGACTTCATCTAGGACATCTGAGACAATGATGGGTGAGAAGTACTTGGTCGTCCATGACTCAACAGCAATGCGCGTCTGCTTCGACCGACAGTCGATGTACCAAGCACGGAATAACCCAGGTGTGTACTTGTGGAGAAGATAGAAGAGATGAACCAACAGCCACTGCATGTTCTTCTCCTCGGGTTCCGACTCTGCCAACTTCACATCGTAGTCTTGGATGTGCTCTGAAGTAAGGTTGACCTTTTCAAGCTTCAATGGATGAGCAGCTGAATGACCTAGCACGTCAAACATGAAATCTAGCAGTGGCCCTACGCAATTATCTTGTTTCAGGTTATCGGTAAAATCATTTCGGATCTTGAATGATGATGTCGAGTAGGCATCAAAGACGAGCTTCCAGGATAGGAGGTATGAGCGAATAGGAGAGGGAAATTCGGCAAGCATTTCGTCAGAGTACTTCTCGAGCGTGGGGGCGTCAAGAAGAAGTGAGAGGAGTTCATCGGGCAGTCGAGCATCTGCGACTGTTAGTTCTTGGTCTTCGTGGAGTATATCGTTACCCATACCTGTCTTCTCCAGCAAAGCATCAATGGACTTCTGCTGTTGCTGTTCAGGAAGAGCCTGGTGAAGCAGATTAAACGCAGCTGTCTGGATGTCTCGCGATTCCGACGCCACCAGGCCAAAGATATCAGACAGATCAGGCACATGTCGTAGAGAGATCTTCTGGACCTCTCGGCAAAGCATGGCATCCACAATCTCAAGTGGCTGGGAGCGAGCATCCCGAGGAAGTCGCAGCAGCTCAATCAACGCCCTGGGCTTGGCACTGGCGTACTCCTTGAGGGCATCCTCGAGATCATCGTTAGGCTCTTGCAAAGACTCAATGGTCTTGAATAACCTGAGTGAAGAGTGAATGAAGGGAAGAGCCTCGTTCAACTCAAACTCGTGCGCACGGTTCCACAGAGATATGCAAAACTCGATGGTCTTTTCCCAGTAAGATCCGTAAACGTCCTTCATACAAGGTAGCAATTTGTTCAATGCTCGACAAATCTCGGCACAAAGGGCTGGGCTCAGGCTCTCAGGTTCGTCCAGCCAACAGGTGATTTGACGGACGGCAAAAACGATTCGGTTGTTAGCCACGGGCATTTCGCCCACCTCGTAAATCTGAGCACATTGCGACAGAAGAACAAGAGTCATCAATGTCTTGTCACTATCTGCCTTGGCTCCTGCGATCTCACTCACAACCTTATTGCAGAAGTTGCTAGCAATCTTGGAGGGCTGCAGAGTCTCGCCAAAGCCGGCAATTGTAGCCGAGGCCGGCAGGACGGTAGTAGGGCCAATCTTGAGAACATCGGGCTTCAGAAGAGCGTCTTCGAAACTGGACGATGCCCCATGTGCCTCAGCCAGGAATTGAACAAGCTCACTGAGCGCACGTGCACTGTATAATCCTCTGGGCGTCAGCTCTTGCGAGTGTTGGGTTAACAGATCAATGAGGTCTTGGATGATGGGCTTCTCTTCCGAGTCGCTCCAGGCGCCAGCATCAGCAGCCAACTGATTCAAGATCCCACGTGTCTTGGAGACGAACTCTTCAGCCTGTGCGCTACCTTCAGCATGTTTCAGAGTTTGCCACAGCCGGTTCTCTTCCATACAGGTGATTTGATCAGAGATGAGCTGCACAGTCAGACACTGAAGATACAACAGCTCAAGCTGGAAGGGTTTGGGCAACTGAGACAGTGGAAGCTTCTCCGAAAGCTGAGACACATAAAGAGCCATTCTTGTAGGAATGGCACGTCCCTTTCTATCCCGATAAATTCTGAGATTGGTAGATCGAGGGGCTCCCTTAACCAAGGCCACAGCACCGCCAATGCTGTTTGTAATCGACAGAGCCGGATTGACGGATAGTTCCAATAATGGCGCAAGTTCCTTCATCCACACATTGGTACTTGGGAAGAGCTCTTCGGAAGGGATGTCACTCGAGACCGCGTTGTATGCTTGCGACACCAAGGTGTTAATGTCCAGAGACTGTGTTCCTGCTCGCTCAAGGTTGGCTTGGACGACAGCAATAACAGGTAGCTTTCCGTCAGTGTGAGTATCGAGAAGAGTGCGGATGGCAGTCGCCTTTGAAGAAATAGCGGAGTCCTCAAGTTCAGAAAGACCGAGAAGCAGAGCTACCAACGTTGTGTGAACGCGCTCATCGCGGGAGAACAGCTCTGGTCGACCCTTGGCGGCGATCTCCAAGGCTTGGAGTGTTGATTCCGTCTTCGAAGGTTCCTTCTCAAGGATTTCGACAAGAGCTTGAACAAGCTCTCGGTAATTGCTATCGGTAAGAGTCTGGTATGTGACAGCAGCTTCCAGCAATTCCCAATCATTGCTACCACCGACCGCCAAAAGGACAGCCTGACCAATTATGTGCTTTTGCAAGTCCATGTTTCCCTTGGCGAGAACGGCTCCTCTATCGTTGGAGATGAGTGATGCAAGAGCGACATCACGAGTAGCCTCTGATGGTAGATCGAGGACAGCCTCGACCCAAGAGTTCCAAATAGGTGCGAATTGAGTTGACACGGAGCCGAAAAGGTGAAGAGAAGAGAGAAGGTACCTTGAGGAGGGCGAAGTGACAGCTTTGGCAGCATCATCACGAGCCAAGGTAGTGAAGAACGTGGAGAGCGTTACAGCCCCTTCGCCGTCGAATAAGCGAGGTGCCATACTCAATGCATATTCGATGATTCGAGCTGCGCCAAATGGCTTCAAGTTCCGGCTCTCCAGCAGTGTGATACTCTGAGAAATGGCTTTGAGAGAGGGTTGAGCTGTATGGTCCGGAACCTCTTCTTCCAGGTCAGCTATCTTCTCCTCAATCTGGCCCACGAGACCGAACCACCGTCGGCCTTCCTCTGAGATCTTTTCTTGAGACTGTTGATACTCCCGCGAAACCTCAGGCAACGATCCGGAGATCTTTGCGCAGAAGACACTGGCGAGACGATCCCATTCTTCCTTGGACGCGGATACCACCGATGGTGAGGCTTGGACAGTGGCGATATAGGCTTCGACCAGGACGGAAATCGCGTTTGGGCCAAGCGGTATAGCTACTGTCTTTTCTGACACCGAAAACAAGAACTGCTCAATAAGAGGGAAGAGATGCTCTTGCACAAATGGCAATTGGTCGTCGGCCGGGAGGTTCTTGAGGAGGCGCTTGGCTGTATCGATGAAGCACTTCCATGCATAAGAAGTGTTCGTTCGAGGTTCATCGCGATGTGTGATACCAGACTTGAGAGAGGTCAAAAATTGGGAAGCAACCTCGGGTGTGATCAAATCCGATGGCAGAACCATCAGCAGCTGATCCAAGTACTCCCAGAACTTTGGCGGACTTCCCTGAGATCCCTTGGCGACGAATGCCTGCAGTCTGCCAAGGGGAGACTTTGGGCCGCTCGGTGTCTTGGTCGATGTCCAAACATCGGGATATGTTTGTGTCATTTTTGTCAACGCCCGCACATATTCGAGCGCCGAGCCAGCTTGGTTGGTCTTTAGACCTCCTGTGATGAAGGCTTGCTTGACCTTTGCATCATCGGCATATGGCAACTTCCGGTCGATGGAGGCGAACAGCAGCTGACATACCGTCCTCCTGACTGACGAGTCATTGAAAGTAATGGTCTTCCAAACGTTTTCCTCCGCAAAGTAGTCATCGTATCGAGATTGCAACTTCTCCAAGTTACTTGGCTCAACCTTTTGCAGTAAACCCAAGACAAGTGACAAGCTAGCAGTAACAACTCGGTAATACTTTGCCTCGGCATCCTCCGCCGTCGTTGAGCGTTCATCGCTCAG